GTTGAAAAATTTTCCGCTCCTTAGGGGGGCGGCAGCTTCAAAAAGGTTGAGAATCACTGTTTTAGAGTAATCCAGAGTGTGCACTATCACTGACTTACTTTTAGTTTGTCCTTTGTCATGGAAAGACAATGATAAATGTTTGCTGGTAGTTTTATTCCCATAGAGATCTCTCCCTAACGCTCCAAATAAGTGCTGGCATTTTTATTTTGACAAGTTTTTGAGCATTTGTTGACTTTCATTATTATTTGTGGGTGTAAGGATTTATATATGTGTAGAATGTGCTTTCCCTCTGGAAATATGGTTGTTTGGTATAAAATGGTTTATTTTTATCTAGGCATCACACTGTTTAAAACAGTATTTGAGGAGATTGTTTTCTCAAAAGATTTAGCCATGGTGGGTTATAGTGTAACATTGGCACTGTAAGTTAATTTATTTCAATAGCAACATATTGAGTTAGTTACTATAGTAATGAAATATGACCTGTTTTGCATCCCAGTTGAGCTGAAAATATAATAAAACACATAAATAATATTAAAAGATATAAACCAGTGGTTTATCCTAACTTAAGTGTGTATTTGTGGAAAGCAAGTGTACCACTGGTCCTTTGTTGAATTCTTTTCCTAGTTTGATGCTGATTACTCAGTTCCAGCATAACTGTTCTATAGCATTTACTTGTTAGCTCCTATTTTATTTACAATTTAACATATGCTACAGCACTATCGGGATTATCAGAATATTACTGAAGAGGATATTCTGATAATCCCGATATTGCTGAAGAGTTTATATTCCCTTCTGGAACATAAGTCTTTTAGAGAGGAAATATTTTCTATCTCTGCTAAATACCAACGGAGCTATAATTAAAATAATATTTTAAAAACATCTTGTAGCTGTTTGTGAATTAAAGACTGAAGGACTGGTACAGCTGGGAAAAAGTCATAGTACGAACAATATCTGATTGAGAATTTAAACTTGGAGAATATGCAGCAATGGTGAAACAAACTGTGTGTCTGTGTGTGTACACACACACACACACATACAACAGAAGTTTAAGTAAATTTAAACAAGAATGGCTTCCATATATATTATTTATCATGCAGCAAGGTAAATACAAACACTTAGACTATGGTTTAAAGTTTACACCAATAGGTACTGCAGATCAGTTGGAGTGCAAAGGAGAAAGTCAGAAATCAAATATTTATATTATTTTAGAGGTGTCTTTTCTTTTCTTTTCTTTTCTTTTCTTTTCTTTTCTTTTCTTTTCTTTTCTTTTCTTCTTTTTTAGCATTTATAAATAATAATATAGTGGAGACTTTGGCATTAAGCTAAAAAAGTTATACTTTTTATATCATGAAAATAAATGAGGGTGCTTGGAATCTTTTACTAATCTTATATTGAGTATTAATTGTATAACTTCAGGAATTATCTGTCCATTTGTAGATATAATCGTTTTTGAAATACATATCATTTAAAAAAAAAGACTGAAGGACTTCTTTTACTCCCTTTTTTAGTAGATTTTCCTAGTAAAATCTGGAAGGTATGTTAGCTAGTCCTTCAAGGAAAAAAGTACATGATTGAACTTGTTTGGAGAAAATCTGGTCCACAAGTGGAAATCAGTGCCAGTATTTTTGTGGCTTCACAACTGCCTTACCTGTTTAAAACTGTTTCTGCTAGTTCAACAAACAATGAATGAATGCAGTGAAGGTCACATATTTTTCTGCAAACTTTATGGAAGCTGCATTTTGGAGAGGGAGAGAATGTGACTGAAAGTTGGTTTCAATTAGACAGAGCCTGTCTATGTAACCCTAAATAAATAAATAACGTTCTTACATATATACCATTTTTGTGGCTTCCTGATTGTTGATATTTTGTTAGCCTTTTTGAATATGTTTTCTGAAATCAAGAAGTAGGAACAATTTTTTTTGAAAAATGAGAGATGTCAACCTGAATGAGTTTGATCATATACTTTCTTATGCTGTCTGTAATAATAGCAGAAAAGGGCACCATTCCTCACTAAATATTTGATTATTAGCTTTTAAAATATTTACTTGAATGCTGGACTTATCCCTGTGGCTTAAGTTAATTCATAGTGTTATTGTAAGGATAACAAAATAAAGCTCTTTGGGAGGAAAATGGGATATAAGTAATAATTAAATATTATTAACTGATGTTGGAGATAGAAATGGGACAAAATGGTAAGGGGGTTGTAAAGGGTTAAAAATAACAAATATGTTCATAGTAAAATAACATAAAACATTCTATCTTGAAGTAATAGAACCTGCAACATACACCCTGTAACATATTTGTACCCTGTAACATATTTATATATGCCTCATAGATTGAGCAAAAATATGTACATTATGTGCAACCAGAAATATTTTTATGTGTTTTCCTCTATATTTTTTCCCCCCAGCTCTGGACAAAAAAGAAAGTTACTACCTAAAGTAGTTTACAATTTACTTTCTGACCGTGACCTGAGGAAAAGACTGAAAGAACATGGATTGTCCACCCAGGGAACAAAACAACAGCTTATTAAAAGACACCAAGAATTTGTGCACATGTATAATTCACAGTGTGATTCTTTAAATCCTAAATCAGGTAGGAAAATGAAACATAGATAGTGGTTTCCTTTAAGAAGTGCTGTTTCTTAAAGTATACTTCTTTGTAACATTTTTTTTACTTACCATCTTGAACTAATATAACCTTAACCTATTATTGCTTTTTGAAATACTTTACAGGAGATTTGCTTTACATGAAGTGTCTGCCATGATTGGAAACCTTGAGCTTACATGATCATGGCAACAAATTTGAATAGTTAACAGTTTGCATGCACATTAATTAGGATCCTTTTATGTCTCTATATTAGTGTTTTTCAAACTTGACAATTTTAAGATGTGTGGACTTCAACTCCCAGAATTCCCCAGCAAGTATGCTGGCTGGGGAATTCTGGGAGTTGAAGCCCATATATCTTAAAGTTGCCAAGGTTGAAAAACACTGCTCTGTATCATCAGTATCATCAGGAAAATCAAACAACGGTAGCAAAGTTATGTGGCCATCTCACAAAAACACTTCGCTTGTTCAGCCCTTTGAGGTAGGCCAGATGAGGAAACACATACTTGATTGCTGGAACTCCGTTGTTAAGGGTATAATAACAAAATCTTCTGCCCTTTCTTATACTAAAGAGAATCAAGGGAGGATTATTTTGAGTTTCTTTCTCCTATCTTCTCCATGGCTAAGTGGGTGTTTGCTTAATCATTCTTGCACTCCTTTTTTAAGGTTAGCATACTCCTCTACACATGGGTTGGCACTTCAGATAACTTACGTGTGATGCTCCCTGTGTATTGTGAAACTCACCTTTTGTTTCAATTGCTGCAGATGTCTCGTTGCCCTTATTCACATGTCTGGAAATATATTCAGGTGTCTTATTTTAGATCTTTTGTGTTTCTATCACTGGGGATACTATACTTCCTGCCTGCCAATTTCAAAAGATAGTAAATGGCTTACAATTAATTACATAAAATGAAAACATAGAAAATCAACAGCATAACCATAATAGCAGAAAGGCCTAGAAATGTCACCTTTTGGGCAACAAAATCTTCAAGCATCCCCAAATGCCTATTTGAAGAGCTCTGGTTTCACAGCACTTCAAAAGTAAAATAGGAAATGGGTACTCTGAAAAATGGGAATAGGTGGTTCCATAGTTATTCCATTAATATAAGATACACAGATAATAATTAAGCACACTTTAAAAGTGTGACAATTCTCTAAAGAGAACTTAGCAAGGGAATCTCTGACTCAGTTCTGACAAATACTTATCCCATTATAGCTAAAAGCAAAGAAATCCTTTTAGCTAAGGTTCAGTATGACTTGGTGTTACAATAGGAAAAATATGACCAAAGGGCACAGGTATTTGTCTGCAGCAAAAGGAGACACTTCACAATTAACCACTTATAACTGTGTTTAAGCTGTTTCCATTAGTCATAGCCGACAAGAGAAGAGTCTGTTCTATGTGATTTGATTTGTTAAAATTGTAGCAAGAGCTAGAGAAACATGATATGAACTCAAGAAGAGCTGTGCTGGATCAGACCAAAGGCCTAGCTATCCACAGAGGATAGATAGAGGCCTCTGGAAAGCAGGATATGAATGAAATAATACTTTCCTGCTTTAGTACCCTAGCAACCAGAATTGTAGATAGCATGTCGCTGATATGAATAGTATCCATTGTTAGGCTTATTCTCTATGACAAAGTCTCTCAACCGTAGCAACTTGGAGATGTGTGGGCTTCAACTCCCACAATTTCCCAGCCCAGTCACTTCTGGGAGTTGAAGTCCACACATCTTCAAGTTGCCAAGGTTGAGAAACGCTGCTTTATGAACTTATCTAAATCCTCTTCTAAGATTGTCTATGTTAATAGCTATCACTGCTTTACATTGTTTACTGTGAAAAAGTTGTTCCTCTGCGCTGAATCTATTTGGATACACTGGATAATTCTTGGTTCTATTGTTATGAGCAAGAAAAACCTTTTTTTAAATCCATGTGTAACTTTATAAGCTTTAATTATGAGGTCCACAAAACCATGGTTTCAGCCCAGTTCTTTAACCCAATGAAAGACTGGACTCGAGAAACTCATTTACTCATTTATTAAGGCACCTTTGTAATTGAGGACTCCTTCCCAAGAAGAGAGCCCCTAACAAAGGAAACATGCATCTTTTATACTTTTCAAAGACAGCGTTACCACCAGAGAGTACATGACTGGTCACATAGTTGAGCATGTGCACTTATCCCAAAATACCATTACACTTTTCCAAGCTATAGGTGCCCATGTCCATGAATCTTTCACATCTGCTTTCTCTGTTCTGTCTTTCCTCCTCTGAATTCCCCCTGGGCTTGACAACTATTTATGGTTATTACCTTTCTAATCAACATCTTCCCCTTCTGGTCAATTAGCAGACTTAAAACAGAGATTAATGACCCATTCTGTTGTGGAATGTGAGTCTAACAGTTTATTGCATGTCAAAGTGAGGACCACTCTGTTGTGGAATGCAAGTCTGCATGTCAAAGTGAGGACTGTAGGTCTAACAATTTATGACCTCAGCTTAATTTCAGTTTTTA